TAGTGCGCAAGTTTTCAGAGCAGAATGGTGCGGAGATGGGGAGATGGGGAGTGGGCTGGCGAGCGAGCAGCGTGCAGGCAGGGAGGCAGGGGCCGCGCCCGTCGGCCCGCGCGGGGCATCCCATGCCGCCGCCGCCGCCGTCGCCGGCTTCCCTGCACCGCCCGCCCACACGTCCCCTGCCCCTGCCTCTGCTGCCCTCCCCCTTCCCGTTCCTCGCAGCCTGAAGGATGCGGGCAAGGCGCTGGCGGCCTGCCAGGGCGCCGCCCCGGACACGCAGGAGGGGCAGGCGCTGCAGCTGTCCTACGCGCGCGACCGCTTTGCCGGCGACCCGCACTACCAGCAGCAGCAGCTGCTGCGGGCGGGGTGGCTGCCTCCGGAGGCGGCCGCTGAGGCGGCGCTGGCACATGCGGGCTGGCAGCCCAAGGAGTTTGGGGAAGGGGCGGCGGCTGGGGCTGCTGCTGAGGGCGGCGGGGAGGGCAGCGGGCACCAGGAGGATGAAGACCCTCTGGCGGCCTGGGAGCGGCAGCAGGCGGCAGAGGCGCAGGCTGCGGCAGCGGAGGAGCCCGAGGAAGGCCAGCTGCCTGCTGGGGCCGCCGGAGGGCACGAGCTGCTGGCCGCGCCAGCGGGCGGCGGCGGCGACGCGGCGGCGGCGGCGGCCCTGGTGCAGCAGCGCGCGGCGGCGGAGGCGGCCGGGTTTGCCTTTGACGCTGCCAGCGGCTACATGCTTGAGCCGACGAGCGGGTACTATTACGATGCCAACACAGGTGCCCAACTGTGCGCTCGGTTCCTGCCACCACCCAGGGGTCCCGCAGCCCTGCTTCCTGCCCTGCTCGCCTGCTCACGTGCGCCGCCCACGGCCTGGCCCTGCTGCCCCGGCCCCTGCCTGCACCGCAGGGCTGTACTGCCACCCTTCCGTGGGCCAGTGGGGCACCTACGACTTCGAGACGGCGCAGTTTGTGCCGCACGACGCGGCGGCGGCGGCGGCGGCGGCCGCGGCGGCCGCCGCCCCCGGCTTCAGCAGCGCCGCCGCCGGCGCGCTGGCGCTGGGCAGCGCGCACGGCTATGGCAGCCGCCAGCAGGCGCCCAGCCAGCACCTCAGCCTGGCCGCGCAGCAGCGGCAGCGCGAGGAGGGCGGCGGCGGCAGGCGCGGCGGCGGCGGCGGTGCCGCGCGGCCCAGGCGGGGCGCCATCATCGGCGCCTCTGCCAAGCTGGATTCGCAGGGCCTGCTGGAGGCGGCCCGCGCGGCAGAGGAGAAGGTGCAGCTGCTTAGGAAGCAGCAGGAGATGGAGGAGGCCAAGCTCAAGGCGGAGGCGAAGCGGCAGCAGGCAAAGCAGGCCAAGCAGGCGGCGGCGACGGGCGCGGCGGCGGCGAGCGTGGCAGCGGCAAGCACGGTGGCGGCGGCGGCGCCTGCGACTGGCGGCGTGCAGGGCGTGATCCACCAGAGCGGCTGGGCCGCGGCGCGCCGCCAGCAGCAGCAGCAGCAGCAGCAGTAGCCAGTGGGGCACCGAGGCTCTGCTGTCTTTGAGAGAGAATGAAGCGGCCAGCTTCATTGCGCAGTTTCCTCTTGTGTTGCTGCCCCAGTTTGGAAGCGAGTCTGGGTTACATCGAATTTCAGCTGACAAAAAAGAAACAGGCGATGGATGAAAGTAAACACTCAACGGAGCGCGTCCCCGAGCAACAGGCAGGGAGGCGGCAGGGAGGTGAGGCATGGTGGAAGGCACATCGCATCACAGGGGCACATCACACAGGGGAAACACACGGGCATGCACCGCGAGCGGTGTGCCGGAGCCTCGCAACGGGTGGGGGAGGTGGTGGGGGGAGTGTTGCGTGGGCGCGGTCGGCGGGCACATGCCGACAATGCCAAGGACCCAGGGCCTTCGGCCTTCGGCTGCCTCGCTGAGTGCCTAGGTCTGGGTCTCGTTCTGCACAGCAGCGGCGGCGGGGCGGGGCGCGGGGTTGGCGGCGGGTGGCAGGTAGAGGCAGGAGGTGCCACCCGGCGAGGTCAGCAGGCGCAGGGGAACGGGCAGGCTTATAAGGCTAATTAGCAGGCCTGCTGCAGGCTGAGCCGGGCAGCGGAGCAGCGCCGCCGGCGCCGCTGTTGCTTGTGCTTGTGTGGGCTTAAAGTCTGGTAAAGCAAGAACTAGCTTGCAACATAGACTCCCCGCCGAAACGGGACGGGAACCGGGCGAAAGCAGAGAAAGCAATAAAACAGGGGTGGAGCAAGGCGACATGCAACGCAAGCAGCTGACAGGGCACGCATCGAAACGTGTGTATGACTGGCAAAGTGGCATGGCGCATTGGGGAGAAACGCAACGGTACGGGAGCATGGGCTGGCCAAACGGCAGTGCGGAACGCTAGGTCACTAGAAAAGCAGGGAAAGGCGCACTATGTATGCAATGAGGGCAGCCCCGGCTCGGGGCCGTTGAGAAAGCAGTGGTCGGGAGGGGGGAGGCCCCGGTGTGGGCGGGCCCCATCGAGGGGGGATGGGGCGCGCAAGCGGCCAGATGGGGCGGGGCGCGGGCGGCAGTAGAGTCCTGCGGCTGGGTGGGATATAGGGCAATGAGCGTTGAGCAGTGTGCGATGAGCAATGAGCAATGAGCAGTGAGCAGCCCCTCCCTAAACAAAGTGAAGCGCAGACGGGGTCCGGTGGATGGGAGGCAAGGAAACGCGGGGGGTTGCCACGTGCGCTGCCGCCGCCGCCGCAGCAGCACCCCTGCGGCGGCGGCAGCGGCAGCAA